GGTGGGTGTTGGGACATTTTATGACTGTAACCCAACCATGAACAGTTTTGTAACTGTGTATCTCATGGTGATTCAATAAGAAAAAAATTATCAGCATAGTTTGAAATGTATCTTAATGACCACTATGAAAATACTTAAGTTTTGGGATAGTAAAATAATACTAGCTTATGTATAAATTAATCAGAATTTTTTGAATTATAGGCATTTTCATAAGAGTTTATTTCGGCACATGCTGATAGGTAATTAGGAAGAATATTGATGGGGATATTTATAAAATATTAAGAAGGTCTTCAGGAAATTTTAAAAAGACTGATGCATTATTAGCACATTAATAGGAAGAATGGCAAGAAATTGTAAAAGCTTCTACTAATACTCAAATATAAAGAGGCTTTTTCTAGGAACTAAAGAAAGTAGCTTCCTAGGTAACAGCATGGGCCTAATGTGGGATTGGACAGCGTATCTTCAGCTTCTATGGGTGAATTTCAAGAGTTTCAGCATATCTACAGCATCTATAGATGTATTTCAAGAGTTTCAAAATATTTCTGATTATTCTTTGTTATGTACATTAACGTCTCATTTAGGAAACTAAGCACTAATAATTCAACAGGCACTATGTGATAAAGTTTCACTTACAATACATAACCAAGATCATTATATTGCTTTGTTTTTCTTTGAAACTCTTACAATTCATACACTAAACATTCCAAGACTATCCATGATTCCATTTTTTTTTCCAGCATGGCATCGTTCCCAGTGTTACTGTGCTTCACGGCTGTGTTGTTTCCTTTATTTCCTGCACATGGAAAGGTATGGTCAAGTTAAAAACCTTTGCAAAATAATTAGGCATCCCTCGGGAGAAGCAAGTTAATAGATAAATTTTCTAAAATAAGCAAAAGTGTAAGGTAGCTAGTATATCTCAAAATATTTAGAAGTTACTCAACATTTGAACATAATTACATCTAAGTCTATGCTGAGCACAATAGCAACCCTTAGGTCCATGAGGACATTGAACACTGGAAGTAAGGTCGTTTTAAATTGAGATTTGCCTACCACTATAACAGATGTCAAAGCATAGTGAAGTAAAGGGTCAAACTAACCTGTTAATGATTTTGACATTCATTTCTTGCTGAACTATATTTTAAATATAGTTAAAATATTTTACACATATCAATTCAACATATTTATTTTCTTCTTTTTTCTAGTGCAACCAAAAGACTAAAATTACATCTGATATTTTAATAAAATTTAGTTTATGGATTTTTAAAAAATTGCTAGACATGTTCTCCAAGATATTTATTTATTATCTATTTTGTTTGGGGGACCACATCCAGCAGTGCTCGTGAGATGGTCCTGGATTTGCATTGAGGAATAACTCCTGGGGGGGGGGGGGCGTGGAAGACCATGGGGTGGCGGGGATTGAACCTGGGCCATCTGCGTGCAAGGAAAGCACCCCAGCCACTGTACTCTCATTCTGGCCCCCTTCACTGATGGATTTAAACACTGAAGAAACTCCTCCATTTCAATAGTGGAGGATAGTCACATACTCAACAGGGCCAGTTGCCCAATATGGGCTCTCATTCCTTTAAGCCATTTCCCTGACTTCGAAACGTCTATATTTTATTTTGAAATTTTAAAAATATTTTATTTATAGTTGAAACCTCCAATTTGTGACACTGTCAATGGTCGGATTTCATGCAATGTTCAACACCACACCCCCCACCAGAGTCCCAACTACCATTCACAGTTGTCTCAGGGTCGTCTCCCTTCCTTCCAAAACGCTGCCCTTGGTTAGCCCAGTTCTGTAGATCATCTATTAGCTTCTATTGTATTTCACCCTTTGTTATGCCCACAATTTTTCTCTATATCCCGCCTAGGAGAGAGCTCTTTCTGTATCTGACCTCTCCTGACTGACTTCACTCAGCATGGTACCTTCCGGTTCCATCCACCTGGCAGTAAATAGCATAAAATGCACCTAAGATATTTAGCAAAATATTTTCCATTTCATAGTCCTTTTTTTGTGGTTAAGTTGGTATGCATAAGGTGTTCTAATGATTCCTAATACTTGCTTTAATTTTGTTAGATGTTTTAACGTTTAACTTAGTTAAATGTTAAAGATCCCCAAACAGAAACGACCATTCTATTCAATGATTGGGGGATAGCTCTATCTCGTGATGAGGAAACCTCTGAAAATGAGGCACTTTGATCACTGCTACATGCTTCCACACCACCTTTAACTTTGGACACACAAACCAGACCAGAGAATTAGATACACAGTTAACCTCATTTGACACTCAGAAGTGCAGTCATTATACCATAATCCAATTCTCAATCAGATACAGTTTGTCACCTTTAGCTTCGTTCAACTCCTATGCCATTTTTTTCCCACTGTTTAAACATCACGGTTTACAAAGTTGTTCATAATACCGTTGCTGTGGTCTTTTGATTGTCCAACAGTAGTTCCACCACCTGAGTGACGTTTCCTCTACCGTTGGACCCATTTTCCCAACTATCCCCCAAGCCTGCCCCCTCAGCAGGAATACACTGATTTGTTTTATATTACTTGTTAGGACCAAATTGTTTAAGGAATCATCAGACATCCTTTAGTAAAGGAAAATTTGTGAAAACTATTATGTCTCACCATGGGTTGTTAAATCTTTGAGGATTTCTTAAGCTATTCATTCCGGTTTGAGCCTTTCGTGTTATTGCTTCTGTTTGTTGAGTTCAATTGGCTTCTACATGACTTTCTCACCTAAGGGGGTATATATCGACTGGAATTTCAGTACCGTATGCAGCTGTGTGGTCCAGAAACTTCAAGATCTGTCGAATGAGGATGAATCTATAGAGATTCTTAAGTGAAGACATGGAGTTAGGCTAGAGATCCTTGGTATGGTGGCAGCAGTGGCGTATGGGTGCAGCTGCCAGGGCTTTCGTAGGGCAGGAACTTGGTCCGCCCCCTCCTGAGGGTGCCCCAGAGTTTTCAGCTGAGGAACAGCTGTGTCCATGAAGTTCAATGACTTGGATTGCATTTCTTCCAAGATTTGGGTAGTGAATGTAAAGAGCAGGGTCAGTGGGTGAGTCACCACGGCTGAGTCAACGTAGTGGCAGTTGTGGGGTGTGGCTGTAGCTGCCAGCACTTCTGGGGGCGGCTGCCTGCCCCGCATTCTGAGAAGGTTCCAGAATTCTCAATTGCACACCAGGTTCCTATGCAATTTTCACATTTTCATTCTTTCCTTCAGATTTCTTCTCCTGGCAGTTTTCAATCCTCTATTGCCGCTCTAGTCCATATCCTGATATTTATTTAGAAACTTTCAAAATGCTATTCAGACCATTTTTTTTCTGAAGCATTTTCTGAACTCAGTCAAAAATAATTAATCCCCCCCTTTATTTTATCTAGCACATCTCACTTATCATTTTTATAGTCATGTGGTATTATAATAATTTATGGCATTTTATCTATGCAATATAAACAAGTTATTTCAATATTTTGTTTTATTTTGGGATTTCCCCCAGAAGTGGTCAAGGCTTGCTCCTGGCAGTGTTCAGGAGGCCATATAGGGTGCCAGGAAAGAATCCTGGTCAACTGTATACAAGGCAACATAGTACCTGCTGTATTGTATCATGTCTTGAACCCAGAAATGTAGACATATGAAAGGGTAATTGGAATCCATATTTGATCCACTTTATTCTCACAAGTCGTCTCACTTTTCCTATTGCCAATAAAATATTTTAGAAAAGCCGTTTTTTTTTTTTAAAAAAAAAAAAGACATTGTCTTCAGTAAATCTTGGTCTGCAAAACAAGATGGGTAAGATAAAGACTATTACTCCCCTTTTGCAGGGACCAAATTTTGATATGCACTGAAATGAAACCCTTTTAAACTTGTTTTTGAGGATCAACAGGAAATACCTAGGGATGCTATTTCATGCTTTAATATAATGCAGAAACTGGCCACAGCTAAAATTTGACATATACCTTCTTTCCAATTTTGAAACATTGACTGGACATGAGCTCATTTTGGTTTTTTTTTTTAATGAACTCATTTTGAATCCAATTCCAATTAGCAGTATTCCTGTCTTTAAGAATATGCAAACAGGAAGGAAAAATCAAAGCACTAATATATAGTGTCAATAAAATGTAGTCAAACGTATGTTTAAATACATAAAGAATTTTAAGACAACTATATTAGGAGAGGAGATTATAGCCATTTTCAAGATATCAGGAGAAAATCGACAAGGGATATTGTCTATTTTGCCTTCTACTTTGAAGTCTTATCATGCCCATATACAGCTTCATACTCTTGTGTAAATTTTAGTCCATCAAATTTCTTAGTTCTTAAGTAAATAACTCATACACCTCCTGGCCTACAACTGTCTTCCTTCTTTCCCCACAGACCATCAAAGATAAACCAAAGATATCAGAGTTGATTTAATGTGTTATTGGTTATATTTATGACACTAACTAAAAGAAGTCAACAGTAGCCATTAATTTGATGACTTAGCAACATCCAATTGCCTTGGAGGTACTGGAATAACTGTCTTTAGAGAACTTTTATAAAAATCTACCCACAATAGGTAGAATCACATACTATAGTGGACTAACCATTCTCCCCGTAATACAGACTCCATGTCAGGTCTTCAACTCTACGTTGAATCTTGACCTCTAAACTTAATGTCCCCTGCTTGAGAATGAATGTCTTAATATTGCTTTGTTCATTTTGTGGGGTTTTTTAAATCACATTAAATGTTCCCTTGAACATAGAAATTGGCATTTGTCTCAGATTAGTTTCTAATTTGTCAAATCATAAATTTCTTCCCACTGTCAAAACACCGTACTGCAACTTTTCTATTACCATTATTTTGGAACAGATTCATTGATAATGCCTAACTCGTATTGAGTAAAACCGAATGCCTTATAAAAGTATTCATTTTATGTTTTTTTAATGAATTAGTCATGCATATGATTTTTAGAAATGTTTCTTTAATCTAATTTTACATCTCTTTAGGAAGAGTCTTTTGATTCATTGTCAACCTGTCTACCAAACATCCAAAATGAGATTATAGACAAACACAATGCGCTTAGAAGATCAGTCTCTCCAACTGCCAGCAACATGCTAAAAATGGTAAGAGGAAGTAATGGAAGACTGCTATTGATGAGCATGGATAAGAGGAGGGAGGTGGGTGGTATGGAACAGCCTGGATAAGAGCAGGTAGCTGGTAACTGTGTCTCATGGAACCATCGTGGCTCACAAATTTCTGACTCTATCTTGCTACTTGGGTTGTGTTTTTATATTGAGCCAGTCAGAAAACCTAAATATCCGTTCACAATAATTGAATAACCTATAAAAGGTATGAGACAAAAGGAGAATAATCTGCCAGAATTGATTCTCTTCATATCAATTTTTCAGAATTTTATATATTTGTGGATAGAATTTCTCTTCCCAGAAAACAGAGGCATACAATTTCAGAATATCCATGGTTCTTCTGAAGACCCTCAAGGAACCCTGATTTAAGACCCTTGTTTTGAATTAAGCATATGCTTCCTGACCTGGATTAATTGATTTCTGACAACATTTCACTGGGCCTTTTCTATTTGTTTTGATATAAAACAATTTTGTAATAAATTCCCAAGAACGTAGACTACTTTTTCCAGACGCTTTCTGTGCTGCCATATCTACAATATCATTAACATCATCCCTGCTATCAACATCTACTCCCACTGGACTCAACTTTGTACCCTAGACTTTCCTATGATTTTTGTTGCTAGAAAGAAAAAAATCCAAGTTTTATCTACTTAAAGCTTAAAGAAAACTTTTGTAAAGGAATAGAGTAACACTCCCCCAAATTGTCTTACATTTGCAAATTTTATCAAATACATACATCCAAACACAATCTAAGGTACCTTACCATGACCTTGGAAATGCCAGTCAAGTGAAGGCTCAATGCTCAATTTCCTTAAGACAAGGTAAACTACTTAATTTCACTTAATAATGATTGAAGAGTTAGTCTTATTCACAAGACTCTTGGAAGAATTAAATAGGAAGAATTAAAACTTTCAAGCATCAAACAAGAAGCCATTGCTTTTCTGATGACTATCTCTATCGCTTCTAATCTAATATCATGAAGAACCTATAGAAAAAACTGTATGGTATTACTTACAACATGCTTACTTTTTTGCTCCCAAAACAAAGATCACTTGTTCTTAAAGATACTCAGTATGAATACAAGTGAACTGGTAATGAAGTATGTCTGGTGACTAAAATAAGAAATATTATCTCAAAATCTTCCCGTTTATCAATATTTACTTGATCACTTGATCACTTGACATCCCTTTACTCTTTACTCATCAATATGCTTGAGCGAGTACCAGTAATGTCTCCATTTGCCCCTGCTGCGTGCTAGTGTAGCCCAGTGGCGTCTACTTGTTCTAGGAACACGAAGAACCTCAAATTGATCCATCAGGGTCTTGAGGAAGAAGTCTGACCATCTCATAGGTGGGCGGCCATGTGATCTCTTGATGTCCCATGGAATCCAGTCGGTAATGGCTCTAATTCAGCAGTCATCTCCAAATCTAATTACATGTCCAGTCCATCTGATTTTTGACACCTTGGCAAACGAGACAGCGTCCCTGATTCTTGAGTGTCCACGGAGGTCGGAACTCCTGATTCTTTCTCTCACTTGAGTGAAGTGTGATACTACAAGCATAGTTCTTTCAATTCCTCTTTGGGAGGTTGAATCTAAATGCTGGACATGGGAGTCTCCGAGTGGACGGTTCCACAATGAAATTGACCACATCATATTCAATTGATGGTTTTCTCTGACCAATGTCACTGTTGTCCCAAAATTCCAAATGGCATCAGACCACAGTCTCCTTTGTGCAAAATTTTACTTCATGGAGTGGGGAGAAAGGGCTGCAAAGTTTAAGAAGAGAACTCCCAGGACGACCTCCAACTGGGAGCTCCTTAGCACTATTGAGGCAACATGGGAAGATGCGGTCATTGATAACATTGACAAGAAATACGATTCACTGGTTCAGTACCTCCATGATTGTGTGAAGAACACCAAGACAGTGATAGCCACAAAAAGATGCCTGTCTTCAAAACTCTTCAGCTCATTTGCCAATGTGGCTTGGTGCAAGCCTCAGGCAACCACAAGAGAATGTCCGAGCTCGCAAAGCCGTACAGAGAAGCGATCAAGGAAGACCTCAAAGAGAGAAGAGTAGCAGTGGTGGCAGATGTGGCAGAAGCCGGGAAAAGCATTCAGAACACCCACCTGTATTTTGCCAACTACAAGATCAAGATGACTGCCCTCCAACTTCCTGATGGAGCTATCACATCTTCCAGAAGGGAAATGGAGATTATTCATGACTTCTACTCAGATCTCTTCAATAGCCACGTCCACCTGCCCACATACCAAAGTCCGCAGGATGAATATGTTGTTCCCAACATTCTCCCTTCTGAAATGCCGCACACCATTTCGTTGATAAAGAAGTGAACAGCACCTGGTCCAGACAAGGTCAGACCTGAACACTGAAGAACCTGCCATCAGTACTCATCAATACACTGGCTCGGCTCTTCACATGCTACCTGTCTGAATGCAAAATTCCATCCCAATGGAAAACCAGCAGGACTGGACTACTGTACATGAAGGGAGACATCCACAACATTAGCAACTATCACCTGATCTGCTTATTGTCTGTCGACTACAAGCTGTTCACTCGAGTCATCCTGAATAAGACTGGCAGAACACTAGATGAAGGAAAACCATGTGAATAAGCCGGGTTCCACAAAGGATTCAGCAACATCGACCATATCCACATAATAACCAAGCTCATTGAGGTTTCTCGGGAGTTCAAGATGCCACTCTGTCTAATGTTCTTTGATTTAAAGAAGGCCTTTGATTCTGTTGAGACTGAAGCCATCATCGAAACCCTAGCCAAACAGGGCATTCAAAGTCAATACATCAGGATCCTCCATGAGCTGTATTACGGATTCACTACCAGGATCTCACCATTCTACAAGGAAGTGATCATTAATATCAAGAGAGGGGTTCGGCAGGGTGATACCATTTCACTGAAACTCTTCAGTGCCACCCTCAAGAACATCATGCGGCAACTGGAATGGGAAGGAATTGGGGTGAAGCTAGGCAGTTGGCAACTAAACCACCTTCACTTTGCTGATGACATCATTCTAATAACACCAAACATTAGCCAAGCGGCACAAATACTGGCCAACTTCGACCATGATTGTGGAAAGGTTGGACTACAGCTGAATCTCATGAAGACAACTATATGAGAAATGACCTCATTCCTGACGTTCCATTCGCTCTCAACAGAATGAACATCTCCAAATGCAACAGTTATGTGTTCCTAGGTCGAGAAGTCAACATAATGAATGACCTGGCACCTGAGTTGTACAGGAAGAAGATAGCAGCTTGGATTGCCTTCAAGAGCGTCGAAGAAATAGCTAAGAGGACGAAGAACCTCCAGTTCCGAACACATTTTTTACTAGTATTACCAAAAGAATTTAAGATCTCTGCATGGTCCTAAAGAGTCCATTAACATTCTAGCATGTTTATAATTGCTTAAAAAATATATTATCTTATTACATATTTTTGTCCAAATAATTAGTAGATGCATGTATTGAAATTCTTAATGACATTAATCATAACTGTTCACATTAAAATCTGTGCTTCTTTGTTTATGATTCATTAAATTCATGTCTTTTTTTTCCTTGTCCCTTTTAGAAATGGAGTGAAGAAGCAGCAACTAATGCCCAAATATGGGCAGATAAATGCACTCTGTCACATAGTACAAGCGAATATCGAAAACTCAGTATGTACATGAATAAACATTCAGGGAATAAATGAACAAGTAACATAAGAAAGGAATTTTTTGAAGTTGCATTAAGAAACTATTATAAATAACTTTTGATTGGAATATTACTCTTTCAAGTTAAAATATCTAGTGAGAAAGGATTCAGAAGCATCACCTTACACAGGTTGGGTTTTACACACAGTTCTGCCTCCTAAGAAACTCACGAGTGAAGCAGATCCCTGTATCATCTCATCATCATCCTCTCTCTCTCTCTCTCTCTCTCTCTCTCTCTCTCTCTCTCTCATTTGTTCTGTCTTTGTTATTTTTTGAGCCACACCAGTGATGCTCAGGATTGACTGCTGTCTCTGCACTCAGGGATTGGTTCTGGCAGAGCTCTGTGAACTATATCCAGTGCTAGGGATTGGACCTGGTTCAGCCACATGCAAGAAAGAGCCCCACCTTGTCCCGTTGCACCCACCCCTCTTCTTCTAGTGTTAAGAATACAAAATTGGCTCTCAGGAGTAAAATAATCAATACTGAAGTCTTATGTATCAAATGTATAATTAGATTTTCTGACTCTTAATCCTCTTAATGTCACATATCTTATTTGTGTTTTGGAAACTAGTGTTTGAAAACTAGTCTGAAAACTCTTTAGTGTTTTAAAGTTTGTTGAATTCTTGTCAAACTTCCTTATTTTACTTAAAAATGCCCAGTATTAACTTGACTATTGCTCTTTTCTCTTTAATTTTAATTTCATTTAGTCTGTTATAGGTGCCTAAAATGAATACGATACAAAATTTGACTCCAAACTCAGAAGTCAAAATGTATCCATCCTCTCCATCAAGGAAGACAAAATGACAAGATAAAATATCATGATGTTAATTATTAGATAACTAAATTATTAAAAAATTCATAGACATAGACAAGCCCAATTTAAAAGTACTAAATAATGTTTTAAAGGCAGACTGTCGTTGATTTTTCCTGTTTTTTGTTAATATAAGCTCTGAAGAGAGATTCCTATACTCAGTAGAAAACTAAAACAAATGGTATTTTTTTAAATTGAATCACCGTGAGATGTAGTTACAAAGCTTTTGTGATTGAGTTTCAGTTATATAATGTTCCAACACCCATCTTTCTACCAGTGAGTATTTTCCACTGCAAATATCTCCTGCATCTTCCTGCCACCACCCACATATAGTATTAATATTACCATCTATTCCATAGATGAAGACACTATGGTATACACACAGTGGAATAGTGCTTAACTGTAAAAAAGATGAAACCATGCAATCCCCAACTGCATGGGCAGCATACTTAGTGAAGGCCGTGAGAGGGAAATCAATAAATACACTCATGTGTAGAGTATAAAGACACGTAGTAAGGAGATAACAAATGGCCAATGATAATAGACCTTGAGAATTTATCTGCCAAAAGGGTTGGGGGTGAAAGAGGACTTCAAGACATTGGTAGGAGGACACTGACACTATCACTATTTCTGACAGTCTAAATCCTGGTGCATATTTTCAAATTTTCCTGCTCAATGATAAAATCTTAATTTCTTTCTTCCTCTTGAAGAAGTCAGGTAAGAATAATTTTTTAAAAGGATACCTTTTTCTAAGTAGCATGTAGTAAGTAAAACTACATAAATATAAATGTTTAGTTTTCGCAAGGGGTAGGGAATTGCCAAGTAGTACTCAGTGGGCCAGAGTTACGACCAACCGTCCACAGTCCACTTGGCTAGAAGGTTCAATGCATGGGCTAGCAGTGCTGTGCTATTCAGGCCCGTAGTGCGGGGGGCACCGTGGCACCCTCTGCACTGCACCAGGTTTACACCCATTGGTGCTCTGAAGACCATGTTGTTCCAGAGTAGTATAATGGTCCTGGTACACTCAGGTATCAGCGTCTCAGTGCATAACTGCTGATCTTCTATCTAACATCTACATAGAAACTTTAAGCCTTAAAACTATTTTGATATGTTCCTGCTCTTTCATACCTATGACTTAATTTCTTTCACTTTTTTATTCTTTTGGGCCTTTCACATCCTTTCTTTTTGTTCTTTCCCAGTTCTGTTTTTTCACTGCTCTGTTTTTTGTTTTGTTTTGGTTTTGGTTTGTTTTGTTTTTGCTTCTTCTCTTTCTCTCCTTTTACTAATTCTTTGAAGAGAATTTGGCCCATTTGTTACGATTTTCTGATTAAGGCGAGACCCATAAACTCTGACAATATTGCTCCTCCTGGTTTCTTATTTTATTCTCAGGGATCTTTCATCTAAACGCAAGCTTTTTTTCTTTCAAATTTCATGCAAAATATCACTTCTATATATTTATTCATATATAAGTAGCAAGAAGCGGTCTCTGCTATTAGCAAGTTTATAATACAAAATAGCAAAATAGGGATACATTGTAAAGAAGGAGTTTACTGGATCAATAGTCAAGTCAGGGTTAGTTGATAATAAAGCAAAATCAACTCACTACTTGAAATTTTCCTTTTTTTCAGATCTTTTGTGTTGAGATGATCAGTCTTCTATTTGATTTATAGCTATCAAAGAATTCACTTAGTGTGAACAAATATAGTATAAATATATAACAATTTATAATAACAATGTATGTCTGTATTTGTATAATTATATAAATTATATAATTTTTTTCTTTAAAAAAATTTAAAGGTTAGAGAAAATAAGAACATTGTAAAACAAGGTCTCCGAGATACAGATATAAAGTTGATAGATGTTGAACTAGAAATATAGACACATAGATATATGCAGACCAAGGTTAACAAATATTTTATTATTTTCCTCATTGGTGATCTTTTTCCCTCTTAGATACAAGTACTTGTGGGGAGAATCTCTTTATGTCCAGTCATGCAGCTACATGGTCAAGTGGAATCCAAGCTTGGTTTAATGAGTCCTCAAATTTTATATATGGTGTAGGGGCAAAGACTAAAGGAGCAATTATTGAACATTACACACAGGTAAGGAAAAAAATTAAACCACCCTCTATAAATATCCTGAAATTTTTTTTTTCCAAACTGTTTCCAATGTTGAATGTGGGAGAAGAGTTTTCGTTCTCAAAATCCTACAGACTCTTGCTAGAGAAACATGCTCTATTTTTCTTACAATCTAAATAATGTACATAGAAAGGCAATATTTTTTTAAAGACTTGATTTTACAATAATATTATTTACTAGGTAATGGATCACTTTTACCATTTTTTACTTATTGCTTGAAATGGACATCTACGACTTCTCATATGATATTTATTAAATAATAAACTAAATGCATCCATGAGCATAAAGAAACAAAATGTATTAGTGTCGTTCTTTATGATGTGTGTATTTTCTAACTTTTTAATACTTTTTTATTTGTTATGAATATTCATCTCTCCTCTTATGGATATGCAGGTTGTTTGGTTCTCATCTTCACTGGTTGGATGTGCAGTTTCCTACTGTCCAGATGCATACCAAAAATATTACTACGTTTGCCAATACTGTCCTGGGTAAGTATACTGAGGAGTTTTATGTCAGTAATCTACTAGCAATTTACAATTTTTATGATATCAGTAGATAAACCAGATAAAATTATATTGATTAACTCCATAGATAATGCAGAGAAACATTATGACATCTTGCATGCCGTAACGAGGATTTGATCGCTGACACCACACATGGTTCGCTGGTCCCTGCCAGGAGTGATCCCTGAGAACAAAATCAAAAATAACCCTGAGCACTGCCTGGAGCAATCTCAAAGCAAAATTATTTTAAAGTGATATTTAGTAAATTATGGAAGTCTTTGAATATCTTCCAAAACTGAGGCCAACTACTCAGGAAGAATATCACTTCTTCATTTCGAATACAATATTCTGATCCTTCTTTTCTTCACCTCATATTTAAAACAATTTGCTTTTCCTTTACGTTGCCTTTCCCAAAACTCAAGGTTTCCCAATATCCAATCGGTATATGTGGTGTGTTTCCCTAGGTCTGGAATTGTTGGTGGGAACTTTGACCTTACACTGAAAAGTGAGTTTTTATGATTAGGCTAAGTGAGAGAGCAAATGGGAAATGACATTTAAATGATTACAGCCCTTTCTACTTCAAATGTTTCTGCTCCTGTTTATCTAAAAATGCCCTCTTAACACCACTAAATGATTAAATCTCAGATTTCAAACTTTTGCCAATCAAGATACCTTTCGATTTGTCAGAAACAGGAAATATTATTATAAGCATTTTTTCTCATAATTTATCACATGGGCAGGCACATACTCTATATAGAAATTATCCAACTGAATCCTAATTTATAATAAGAAACACTCCCCTTCCTAAAAGAATATGTTTGAGTTACACTTATGTGTACACACACACACACACACACACACACACACCATGGATATTGAAGATAGATTCACAATGTTTTTCTTGGTCTTGAGACATAGTAAGACAGGTGAGGTTCTTGCCTTTCACAATGCTTGCCTTGTAGGTGTAGTAACCCTAGCCCCACTGACCAAATGTTCCTCTTCCTTTGAATTTTAAATTCTTATTTGGAACAGTCATCTACTCTACTGTTAATAATATTCAGATATACAATGTTCCAGCACCATGCCAACCACCAAATTGTCAAGGTCCTCTGCTCCCTAATATTTGAATTTTTTGTTTTTCCTTTGGGGACACACCAGGTTGTGCCCAGAGTTTGCCTCCCTCTGCCAGGAGGCTCTGTACACAGGGATCACTCCTGATGGTGCTAACAGGACTATATGGGATGCCCGTGACTAAACCCGGGTTAGATGCATGCAAGAAAAAGCGCTGTGGCGTATTCGACATGCCAAAAACAGTAACAAGTCTCACATTGGAGAGGTTACTGATGCCCGCTTGAGCAAATCGATGAACAATGGGAGGACAGAGCTACAGTGCATATTAGGAAACAGTGACAGAAAGGATCTAGGAGGTGCAGGCAAGTTTCTCTGTGAAACTAATCTGGAGATTAGTCTTAACAGAATGTTTTTTCTAACTGATATTCCTAGATTGGGTAAACATAGAAACCCCATACACACACCACCTGAGACATGAAAAAATTTTCCTACGTATATTTGCCTCTCCCAGACACAAACACTATTGAAATCCACTGTCTCCATCTGGAAGTCAAAAATCTACCTATAATTTACTTTCCCTGGAATAAAGTATAGAAGTTAATACATTCTACATTTGAAGTTATAATTTACTAATTCACAAAATATTTTCCATACTACACTTGTTTTATTCTCAGGAACGTCTCCTGACTCTTATTGGGATATGCTTTGCCCATAATCAGCATCAGGGATGTGCCACCTTAGCAAACTGACCAAGTCTACTTGGAAAATGAAGACCGTTGCCATAGTGAAATACATTCGGGAAATTTTAGACTTTAAATCAGAACCCACAAAATGAGTGAATACGTGAATTATTCTCTGACTTTGTATGTTATTTAAGTACACTTGGGGAGAATGTTAATCTTTCAGTTGTACAACTTAAAACATTTATTCAAGAAAGTGTGTGGGACGAATGATAGTCTTAAAATAACTTCATCCATTTTTGATTGTGTAAAAACATTATGATTAAAAATGTTTCCTTTTTTATTTTAAATTTCAGGGGTAATATTAAGGACAAAATCAATGTTCCTTACCTCAGGGGACCACGTTGTGCTGCCTGCCCTAATGATTGTGACAATGGTCTATGCAGTAAGTTGGAACTCATTTGTTAATATAAAAAAAATTTAAAGACATAATATTTCAAGAATTATGAAATCGGAACATAACCTCTTAGGCAATGTCTTTGTTGTATGTTTAAGTGAGACCTTTATATTTTTTAGAATATAGATATGCTTTGCAATGATAAGACCAGATAAGGCCAGAGAAATAGTTCGAAGGGCTAGAGTATACTTTGCTTGTGGGAGACCCAGGTCCAATTTCTGGCACCTCATGATCCTCTGAGCATCACCTTGAAACCCCAGAGCACTGTGAACAGAACCAGGAGCAGTGCTCAAGCACTACTGGTGGTCTTCTCTAATAAGCAGTGGTGCTCAAGGGCACTTCCAGGTTCTCACTAAATTCCTGACACATTCAAGACATATGCTCTAGAGCCCTGAATAATTTCAGTCTTCTCTCCAACCCAGAATAATAAATTTAATTTAAAATTTGGTGGATTTATGTCCAATGCTAGATATTCACAAGGAAATGGTCAAGAGTCATGGTGATTTTTGCATATTTATATATTCACATCAGTGTCTTCTATATGATATCTTATTCATGAAAGTAAGACTAGTTACATTAGAGTCTAGGAAAAGTGTCCAATATCACTTTTTACAATGATGGAAATGTTGACTACAGTGCTCTGAAAAGTAACGCCTAAACACGTTAGCTTTAGAGCACTTGGAATGCAATTGAAATAACTTAGTCCCTGCATTTTAAATTTGATTTCATTTTAAGAAGTTTAAATTTTAACAACCACATGGTTGCCAGTGTCTGTCATTTTGGATATTTTATTTATTTTTATTTGTTTTGTTTTGTTTTTTCTTTTTTTTTTAATTTTTATTAGTGAAACACCATGAGGTACAGTTGTAAAGTAAAGTAAGTAAAGGCCCTCCAGGCCCTCCCGTTGATCATCGATTTGCTCGAGCGGGCCCAGTAACGTCTCCATTGGAGACTTTGTTGTTACTGTGTTTGGCATATCGAATACGTCACGGGGAGCTTGCCAGGCTCTGCCGTGAGGGCGAGATACTCTCGGTAGCTTGCCGGGCTCTCCGAGAGGGGCGAAGGAATAGAGCTCGGGTCGGCCAGTCGTAGACTTACAAATTTTTGTGCTTGGGTTAAAGTTATACAATGATCGAGTACCCATCCCTCCACCAGTGCCCCTTCTCTACCGCCACTGATCCCAGTATCCCTCCCACCCCCCATCCACCCATCCCACCCTGTCTCTGTGGCAGGGCATTCCCCTCTGTTCTCTCTCTCCTTTTGGGTGTTGTGATTTGCAAAAGGGGCATTGAGTGGCAATCATGTTTGGTCTGTAGTCTACTTTCAGCATGCATCTCCCATCCTTGGAGGATTCTCCCAACACCCTTTATTTGGTCTCTCTTCTCTATCTGAGCTGCCTTTTCCCCTAGCATGTGAGGCTGGCCTCCAAGCCATGGAGTGAACCACCTGGTACTTATTTTGGCTATTCTTGAGTGTTAGTCTCCGAATTTGTTACTTCATGTTCCCCAGATGAATGTTTCTAGGTCTGTTCCTCTCTTTCTGACTCATTTCGCTTAGCATGATACTTTCCATGTAGTACCACTTGTATGTAAATTGCATGACTTCATCCTTTCTAACAGCTACATAGTACTCCATTGTGTAGATGTACCAAAGTTTCTTTAACCAATCATCTGTTCTCAGGCATTCAGGTTTTTTCCTGATTCTGGTTATTGTAAAGAGTGCTGCAATGAACAAACAAGTGAAGATGTCACTTCGACTATACTTTTTTGCCTCTCTGGATATATTCCCAGGAGTGGTATTGCTGGGTCAAATGGGAGCTCAATTTCTAGTTTTTGGAGAATCATCCGTACTGTTTTCCAAAAGGGCTGAACCAGTCGGCATTCCCACCAGCAGTGAGGGAGGGTCCCTTTCTCGTCACATCCGTGCCAACACTGGTTGCTTTTGTTCTTTTGGATATGGGCTAGTCTCTGTGGTGTTAAATATCTCATTGTTGTTTTGATCTGCATCTCCCTGATGATTAATGATGTAGAGCATTTTCTCATATGCTTTTTAGTCATTCAGATTTCTTCATTGAGAAAGTTTCTGTTCATTTCGTCACCCCAATTTTTGTTGGGATTGGATGTTTTCTTCTTGTGGAGTTTAATCAGTGCTTTTTATATCCTTGATATCAACCCCTTGTCGCATGGGTATTTGTGAATATACTTTCCCATTCTGTAGACTGCCTTTGTATTTTTTTTCACTGTCTCTTTTGAGGTGCAGAAGGTTCTTAGTTTAGGATAGTCTCATTTGTCTGTCTCTGTTTTCACTTGCTTGGCCAGTGGCGTGACATCTTTGAAAATATATGTATTGTGTCCTAGCACATGGTCTATTTTGGAAAATGTTCCATGTGCATTGGAGAAGAATGTTTATTCTTTCTTTTGGGGGTGTAAAGCCCTGTATAGATCTATAAGTCCTTTATATTTTATTTCTTCTTTCAAAGCCTCAGTTCCTTGCTGAGTTTTGTTCTTATTGATCTATCCAGAGGTGATAAGGTGATGTTGAAGTCTCTGGCTACTGTTGTATTGCTAGCAATGTCCTTCTTAAAATCTGTTATCAGTTGTTTTAAATATTTAGCTGTTCCCTCATTAGGTGCATATACAATTAAGAGTGTGATTTCTTCCTGTTGTTCTTACACTTTGATAAATAAAAAATGGCCTTCAATGTTCCTTCTAATATTTTTCAACCTGAAATCTATGTTGTCAGCTACTAGTATGGCCACCCCAGCTTTTTTGAGGGAACTGTTTGCTTGCAGAATAGTTTTCCATCCTTTTACTTTGAGTCTGTGTTTGCTCTGACTGTTGAGATGAGTTTCTTGTAGGCAGCAGAACGTTGGGTTCTGTCTCTGAATTCATTTTGCCACTCTGTGTCTCTTAATTGGTGAATTTAGACCATTGACATTGAGAGAGATTATTATTATGGGGTTTTGTGTCATCTTTCTGTAAGAGTCTGTTGTGCTTGTAGGGTTTGTCTTATCTTATTCTAGCCCCTTTAGCCCTTCTTTTAGGTTTGGTTTTGAGTCTATGAAATTCCTGAACTGCTGTTTATCTAGAAAATAGTGTACCGTTTCTTTGAGATTGAGTGAGAGTTTAGCCAGTTAGAGAATTATTGGTGAAGCATTCATTTCAGTGAGCTTTTTCACTATATCCCACCATTGCCTTCGGGCTTGGAGGGTTTCCTCTGATAGGTCTGCTGTGAATCTAAGGGGTGCTCCTTTGTATGTGACTTCCTTCTTTGACCTTGCTGCTTGCAGTATTGTGTCTCTGTAGGCGGCATCCATCATCCTAACTATGATATGTCTTGGAGTATTTTTGTTAGGGTCTCTTTTAGCTTGCACCCTTTGGGCTCCTTGAATCTGAATGGCTGCATTGTCCAGCTCTGGGAATTTTTCAGCAATGATTTGTTTAACCGTGGCTTTTTCATTGGGATTGTTTCCCTGAGCTTCTGGTACTCCAATGATTCTAATGTTGTTCCTCTTGAAATTATCTCCTAGGACTTTGATTCCCTGTAGCACTATTTTGAGGTCCCTTGCCATTGTTTGTTGTTGCCTGTTGGCTTGGTGCAGCTGATCTTCCAGCTCACTGATTCTGTCTTCAGCTGCAGTCATTCTACTGTTGAGGGCACAGACTGAGTTTTTTATTCCATCTACGGAATCTTTTATCTGTGACATTTCTGTGTGTATCTTTCCAATTTCTGCTCTCATTTCTTCCTGTATTTTCTCGATTGTGGGATCCATTATTTCTTTCAAATCCTCCTTCAATTTACTGGACATGTGTCTCACCGATTCATTGAGTTCATTGAACATCTTCATTACTTCATGTCTGAATTCTTTCTCAGAGAGGTTCCTTAGGTGAGTAGTACCTACTGAGGCTTCTGGACTGTTTCTATCATTTCCACATGGTGAGGATTTGCGTTGTTTCTTCATGTTGGTGTGTTGGTATGGGAACTGAGATGTTACAATAGATTTCTTGGTATGAGAAAATTACCTGCGGCCATGGTGAGCAGCAGCTGGCCGGAATAAGCCACTCCCCCATGGGAACCTGGTGTGTGGGGTGGATACTAGCTGGGAGGGGAAGAAGACTGGCACAGTGTTGGGGACGAAGAGGAAGAGGCTCAGGGCTGCTTTTGTCCCAGGGTCCTAGAGGATGCCTGGGGTGCTTGCACGGAGAAAGCCAAGTCCTGGGTTCGAATACTGGTAGGTAAACTGACCTTTTAAATCTGAAGTACTTCATCCTTTATGGTGACAAAGGTGGTTTTAGCAGCTGACATTACATTCCTTAAAAATTTCAAAGTGTTTGTAAGATGAGTGCTTTTTGTTCTCTGCCCCTCATTTCTTATTTTCTGAATTCAGCAATATTTCCAGTTTAACTGTCTTCAATTCTAGGCATTACGTCATTGCTTTTTTTATTTCTTAGAAATGGACTTCAAATATTCTTTTCCTTAGATTTTCTTCGAAATCCACAAGAACCTGTCTACAACACACAGTTCAGTTCAGGCAGAAACTTGAGGGGCCCACAAGCCACTGGGGGGAACACCATCGTCCGCCATCCCGTCCGCTACGTGGTGAACATGCCTGCCGCCACCAAGCGACTGACACCGATTAGACAACTATTTCGTCCCCGCTACTGAGTCCACGGCGCGTGTCCAGCCTCCGACCACCCACCCCGCCCTCCACCATTTTGGACATTTTAAAGAAATTAATTTAAATACATATAATTCTATTTTCTGAAAGAGTTAAGTGATCGATTTAGAAAAGCAAGTAATAGAAAATCGGTGAGTTTGATGAAAAGAAGCAATGTGTCCCTCAAGAAAAAGCCATCCTGAGTGAAAATGTGTCGACTAGTTTGGTCAGTTCCTTCCTACCCATTCACATTGAGTTTGTTTGTGCTTATTGCTGTGCCACATAAATGAGAATGAGATGACGGATTTCTTTTTTTTTTATTCCAACCAACAGCTGCATGTATCAAGATATATATTCTCACTGTAAAAGTTTGGTGGCTTCAGTGGGTTGTAAACCTGACATCACCAAGGACAATTGCAAGGCCCCCTGCAAGTGCCAAAACAAGATTTATTAAATTTTCAGTACAGACTGAACAGAGAAATATTATCTACTTAGATTTGACATTTACTAGCAAGGAAATTATTATCATGTTAGTGACATGTGTCATTCGAAACAGATTTTTCATCTGGGATCCATTTCAATCCATAGAAATATTCCATTAAAATGTTAAAAATATATAATCTATGATTAATTACTTTGGATTGTGTTACAAACTTGTTGATTAAAGTTTAATGAATTGAGTTCTGTTGGGAATTTTGGAAGTTGTATTCTTTTGTCGTTATTTTTGTTTGTTTGGGGCCACAGTCAACAGTGCTCAGGCTCCTTCCTTGTTCTGTGCTGGCAAGCTCGGAGAACCATATGGGGAGCGGGAGTTCAACCCCAGTGCCCGACCTGCTGTTCTTAGAAGGTTGTATTCTTATGACTAGAACCAATGACTGAAATTGAGAATCATACTTCTAAAACAAAATGTCCAAAGAGAAAAGTAAGATATCACTGGTATATGGCAACCCCTTCTTTCCTAGCTCCACTTCGTGGTTGATACCTTTAAAAAAGTGTTCACACAGATAAAAATCAATTATCTTTCATTTTTCCTCTAACGTTTACTCTTCTTCCACTCTTTAATGCCCATCCTTACAATTAAGGTGAAGTAACTCTTCCTAACCCAAGCCTTCATTTTGCAGTTCAGTAAGAAATTTTAATTATCTACATAAATTGTATAATGGAGTATTATTATACCTTCTTTTTTCCACTCCCACTTCCTCCAACCTCTCATAGCTATTTTTTTTAATGTAGGAGTATTCCTGTTTATTCAGCCATTGATTAAGCTGATTGAATTGGGCATGAACTCCACCTTATTTTTTTTTCCTTTTTATAAATTTATTTATTGAATCACCGTGAGAGCAGTTACAAATATTTCGGGTTTAAGTCTCGGTCACACAATGACAAAACACCTGTCCCTTCACCAGTGCCCATTTTCTACCACCAAAAACCCCGGTATACCCCACACCCCACACCCTCCCCCTGCCTGTGGGGCAGATGATTTCCACATTACTTTCTCTCTACTTTGATTACATTCAATATTTTGACCCCAGAACCACTATTATTATTTGGGATTTTACCCCAACACTCAGATCTGCCAAAAAGGTAACCGTAGACAATTTGTTTTCTATTGTTGATTATGAATAACATATGATGGTGTGTGGCCACAGTAGTGGCCGCACGATTTTGGATTTGCAAAATTTTAACAATTAAATCTGGAGGAATTTCTGCTAAACCTGCTGGGTTCCAAGATTTGTTCCTGAGTCTTTGGGATCATGGCTGTTAAGCAGCTTGTTCAGGAGCCAGAGAGGCTGATCATAGGCGGCGACCCTGGGTCTCGTTGGGGAGGGGAGGAAAGGGCCAGTTTCATCCTCATCCCGTGAGGCCCCACATGTCTCGTCACTGAGGACCCAAACCTGAATTCCAATGGCCTCTGGAGGATGGCAGCCACCGAGCCACCAAGGGGGAGCAGATGGAGAGACAACACCCTTTCCCCTTGGTATAGCCTGGGGCCAGTGACCTACTGTGGAGGCGTGACGCATTTTTGCCAAAAGCCACTGGGTTCCAAGATTTGCTTCTGAATCTCTGGGATCATGGCCGTTAGGCAGCTTGATCAGGAGTCAGTGACTTGGGATCTCATTGGGGCAGAGAGGAAAGGGTCATAACTATCTCTTCTCTTAGACAAATCTTCCTTAAATAGTTTAATGTAGCTAGGTCTGGGAACGTGACCCTGCAGCATAGCCCTTGCCTAGTATGAGATCCTATACCTGGATTTGATCCCAGCACCACAAACTATAATTAATTAATTAAATAATTGATTTAAAAATTATATTGCAGTGTTTGATTTACAAAGTTATTCAATTATTGAGGGGCCAGAGTGATAGTAATGTAGGTAGGGCACTTACTTTGCACTCAGCCAATCCAGGTTTGGTCCTGGCATCCCATGTGGTCCCCTAAAGCCCCACCAGGAGTGATCCTTAAACACAGAGCCAGGGGGGTAAGCCCTTCACACTCTTAAGTGTGGCAAAACCTCCCCCCCTCAAATAAAACCAAAATAAATTCAATAATTGAGTTTCAGACATACAGATTTCCAACACCAATCCCACACCAGTATGGACTTCCCTTCACCAATCTCCCCAATTTCTCTCTGAACCACCAGCCTGCCACCCTGATAGGAACACTTTTAAGTTTGGTTGTTATAGTTGAAATCTTGTGTTTTCAGTTTTGGTGTTTCTGTGATTCAACTCTATAGATATACCACACCTCTTCAACCACCAGTGTGCCTGAGGCCTGTGCCTCTTGGCCATGTTATCCCCTGCCCATCTCTTTTACTTCCCCCATCAATTAAAAAAAACAACAAATAATATATATGTATATATATTTGACATTTACTAGTATATACATACTATTATATATAAAATGCATATATATACATATATATATACACACACACATTCTTCCCTTCAGAAGTTACAACTTACTCCCCTCCTTTTCGATTCTGGACTAACATATTAACTCACTCCCCAAAAGTAAAGTATACCAGGGAAACACCAGTTAATTGAAAGTGAAGTCTGGAAAATGCCACCTTAACCAAATGACTAAAGTCACTATCATTTGTCATGTGGAATGCTGAACCCCTCTACTATAACTAGAAAAAGAGATTTTGCCCTGTGAAATTCTTTCTGTCTGTAACCCAAGTCTCATAAGACACGGGGCATGTTCTGCAAACTATCCCTGGATTATGGGATGTTCTGCAAACTCTCTGATCATGCTCTTCAAAACTATCAATGTTGGGGCCAGAGAGATATTAAGAAGGTCAGGCACTTGCCTTATACTATACCTACACAAATTCCATCCCAGATACACCGTACCCACCCCCAAGCTCTGACAGAAGTGATCTCTGAGCACAGAATCAGGAGGAAGCCCTGAGCACGGCTGGATGCTACCTCAACTCCACCACCCCACCCAACCCCCTAAAAAAGCTATCAATGTCATGAGCAATATAGAAAATCTAAGAATGCCTTGGAGATCAAACATGACTAAGGAAATATGAAAAGAAAGTACAACGTGGTATTCTAGATAGGATCATAAAACAGAAGAAAAAGGTGTCATTATTAGGAATATAGGTGAAATCTGAAGAGCATCTGAAGTCTTTTCAATAGTAATATTGATTTCTTCAACTTCAAAAACGTGCCAGAATTATAAGATGAGAAAAATCAGGGAAAGGAAAAGCTGGGTAAAAAGTATATAAAAAATTTCTACATTATCTTAAATTTCTCTAAGTACAGCAAAATAAAAAGTGCATAAAAAGCTAAGATAAAAATTGTTGGTTTAATTTGACAGCTCCAAGCCGCTTTATACCTTTTCTTCAGATTACCTGGTTTTTCTGACTCTCCCTACCAAGGTTTCTTCTATTCTCTTATAAAATATTTGGTATTTATTTATGTATTTATTTATCTCGAATACCCATCCCTCCACCAGCGCCCGTTTCCCACCACCACGGATCCCAGTATCCCTCCCACCCCCCATCCCCCCGATCCCCACTGCCTCTGTGGCAGGGCATTCCCCTCTGTTCTCTCTGTCCTTTTGGGTGTTGTGGTTTGCAAAGGAGTTAAGTCTGATTTTCAGGGAGAAACGTTGGATGATTCACTTTCCATTGATGACTTTGTATATAAGGAGATGTCGCGCCTGGTGCCCACTTGCAGGCTCATGGTCACCGGGGTTCCATCTGGAGAAGGCGGGATGCAGCACCTGCCCCATCTGGGACCTCCCGGTGATATTGGCTCTGTTTGGGACCTGGAGCATTCTCCAGGAGCTGTGGGGCCCCCCAGTCAGTTTTCTTCTTTGTTGCTCTGTAAGATGGCCAAAGTATTTGTTTTTTTTTTTAATGGAACTTTCAGATAAGACTAATGTTTGTATTTCCTCCTAAGATCCATTATCAAGATTCACCAGTAATTTAAAAAATATGAGTAGTTGTGAAGCAAAGGTAAAGGGCTGCTTCTCCTGGAAGGGTGCATAAAATGAGGCCCCCATAACCATAAAAAAAGATTATATATTAGTATTTGAAAGTATCTTTTCTGTTCCTCTAATAATATGCCTTCCAGGTGAGTAAGAACACATGGAAACTCAAAAGCTGTACGTTTACATCTAGTCCGGATTTGTCCTCTGTACCAAATTTATTATCAACGATACTTTTTCTTTATCTCTTCATATCCCTTTCTTTGTCGTATTTCTGTTACTCTAAAACTAATATGGAGAATTGTCACCACTTATTTTTCCTGTCACTGATTTCGTATGCCTGAAAATAACCCTGTCTCATTTCAGCAGAGAGACTACTTGAAGTAATATTTCATAAGATGATTTTCTATCTCTCTAAATAGTAATAAAAATATAATCCGTATTAGAAAAATGACACTATTTGGAGATTCCTCAATTTCCATAGCTTCCCCAACATTCCAAATTCTTTTTTGATTTTTTTTTTTTTAGTTTTTTGTGACCTACTGGCAGTGCTCAGGATGTATTCCTGACTCTACACTGAGACATTACTCCTGGCAGGGTTTGGGGGGACCATGTGGAATGCTGAGGATTGAGCTTGGTTCAGCTGCATGCAAGACAAACACCCAACCTATAATTCTACCTTGTTGCGTCCTCCAAATTCTTCTGATTCTTCTTTTAAAATAGAGACCCGACTGAACAGTACTCAGGGGTCCTAGACAGGCAATGCAGGAACTGGCACCGCTGGCTGAAAATTTGGTTATTCACCCTGGAATGTTATACTAAGCTATCACTTCAGTCATCATAGCAGTAGAGCACAGCTACAACTGTAAGAAACGGACAGGGGGTGTTTGGAACCTAGGATTGACTTTAAGACCTCAAGTATACTAGTCATATGCTCTACCACTTGATCTCATGTGGTCCTGGCTTTTGTTTCTTTGGGGAAGGTGGGGATGAGCCCTGGTCCACAACCCACTGTGC